TGTAATATATTATAGTTTTACAATTATAATTTTACAATTATAAATGTAAAGACTTCAAATAGAAATGCAAAGAACACTGTTCTCCTATAATGTTAAAATTTACTCACTAATGCCACCGAAATCTTGGCTTCTATCACTGAAAATAGCACGGCTGACTAATAGGCTGTGTGAGTACCCATCAGGACAACTATGGAAGATGGATGGAATGCGGAAGATGGTAAGGAATCCTTTCAATGGCTGTTGAAATTCTCCAGCAAATTTTAGGGGTCCTCAGACTGTCTGGGGTTTGGATATTTACAACTTTGTAAATTGTAGGAAGCTGATGATAATGCAAACCATTTTGTCCATAGAAATGTTAATGAGTTTTATCCAGAGATACAATTGATTTCTGCCCTATAGAAAAATACTATTTTCTGCTCTGAGACTTTTGACTTAAAAGATTTTTAAATGAGTTGAAATTTCCTATTTCCCAGCTTTGTAAGTGGAGATGAGCGTCACCATAGTTCTCACTCTTAACCCGTCCTTGGGAAAAAAAATAGTAGTATGTTGAAAATATTTCTAAACCTCCATTTTTTTTAATGCTCTCTCCATAACACATATTTCACATCAAAAATAGTGATTTTTCTTATTTATTGTTAGATCATTATCTCTACCTTAAGGGTCAGGATAAACACAGAATTTCTTCGATATGTGATGGGTTACATCCCAGTAAACACATACATGGAAAGTATTGTAATTTCAAAATGCATGTACTATCCCTAAACCACCAGACATCACTGCTTAGCCGAGCTACCTTAGCCATGCTCAGAACACAAGCCTTATGCACAGCTAGCAAACATCACCTAACACCAAGCCTATTTTGTAGCAAGGTGTTAGATACCTCATGCAATTTATTGAGTACTGGACTAAAAGTGAAAAGCAGAGTGGTCTGACCCTATGATGGCATAGCTGACTGGACTCCGGGCCTCATGGATGCTGCCCCAGCCTCAGGAGAATATGGCTAGCACATCGCTAGCAAAAGAAAAGGCAAAATTCAAAGTATGGCTTTCCCAGCAGGCTTATTTCTTGTGTACCATCATGAAAACAAAGCCTTAGAAGCTGGAAATCACAAGTGGAGGACCATCTATGTTAATCTCTTTTTTCAAAATGAATGTTAGGTAGAAACTCAACAGAAAGAAACCTTAGACTTTGTGAAAAAATATCCTGGTTACCAGGTTAGGCTTCAGGGAAGAGAAGAGGGACTGGGGGAGGGGAGAGAAAGGGCTGTGGCCAGAGCTTTGGGGAAGGAAGTGAAGCCTGTGCACCACCGAGATGTG